GCACATATGCTTTCTGCCAAAGTTAGCAAATATAAGTCAAGATTTGAAGATGTGCTAAAAAAAGAAAAAAAAAAAAAAATAATAATGAAAGAAAAAAACAGCCTACAGTCATAAAAAGCACATTGAAACACTTTGGCCAGTTATTAAATGTCATTCATTGCCAACTGGGTTGATGGCATGCATACATATTCATGCTCGCAATTGCATCCACACTTACACAAACAAAATTCAATTTGTTAACTTGTGTTTATATATATGTACAATTATATTTTGTAGATTATGTCGTAATGTAGTTCATCAGAAATCAACCTAACCTACCGCCGCCATCACCGCCGTGAGATGATGATCGGTCACATAAAGTGCTCGTTTCGTTATTGTAACATTTAATGGTTTTATTTTTTTTTGCTCTTTTTTTTTTTGTTTTTATTATTTTTTCTTTATGTCAAAAGTTTTACTATTTGAATGTTTTATATGTGTGCGGTGAGTGTATGGTGTGCAACGAATAGACAATAATGTTTTAAACCAACGATGATGACGCTTCATTTACCATGTCACCACCATTCACAAGTGTTCATCGATTAAATTCATTATTTTTTTTTTTCCTTTTTGAAATTACTTTTTTGCATTTTCTTACAAATAACGTTGTTATTGGACTACTTTAAGTTCAATGCTCATCGTTATTAGAAAAATCAATTTTTATTCATTCGGTGTCCATTCACCTTTGATATATCAGTTCAATATAACGTTTTAGATGAATGTGTTTTTTATGAAAATTTTTTTTGTTGAAAAATTCACTGAAAGGATTTGCGCTATAAAAATGTTGCTAATAAAATTTACTGCATTACGCAAGAGTTAGATAAAATCGCTTTAATTACTTTAACAATCTTGCTGTCCGATCTTCGAAATAATTTTGTTCCACATTGTTTCCCTTGCATTCAATCTCTTCTGTGAGCAATAAAATTTTTATTTACAACTTGTTCCCGATGTACATTAATGGGCAAAATAATAGCAGACGTTTACTTCAGATTGGTTTTGCTTGCCATGAGAGCTATGCGAACGCATTCAACATCTAGAAAAACTTGAGACTGATCCACATTTTACTATAACAATTTAGAATCAGTCCCAGAATTAATCTCAACTTGTGCGTCCATCTGTCTGCCCTGTTTTTTGGTGTTCAACCTACAAATTGCAATTTTGGATGATATTTGGGTTAAATTCCGTCCAAGGGTGAACGCTGTTGAAAATGCTTCGAATCGTTGTGTGAGTAACCATAGGATGGTATAGGGTATTTTATAATACTTTTACTATAGCGTTTTTACTTGTTTTTAGTTTTAACCGCTTCAACGATCAGCTCCTTACAGTGGCTTCAAACTGTCCTAAAAGATATTGCATTAGCGTAGCCAGTTCGTTTCATTCTTTTACAGTCACTATAGGTTCACCCATTTGCCGCTATCACATCTGTTGGAGTTAATGCGCAATCAGAAAAAATCCGCATTTTTTGTGCTTTTCAAAACCGAGGTGTTCTCGGTTACAATATGTGTATCCTATGACCGATTTTGATTAACTTCAACACCAACCTGCCTACAAGAACTTCCATGTTGTGCCAAGTTTCAAGTTGATATCTTAATTTTTACAACCGGAACTATGTTTACCACGAACAAATACCCGGATAGATTAGTAGACGGACAGACGGCGATGCCTAAATCGACTCAGCGTTTGACACTAATCAAAAATATATACACATTACAGTGTTTGCTAAGTCTCCTCCTGAGTGTTGCAAACGTTTTAACAACATTTTCATACCTAACTGTATAGGGCCGGACAGTTTTATGGCTTAAAGTTGATTCACTCTTTTTATTATACCAAGAGATTTAAAAGCGTTCATTGTTTGTCCATCCCTATGTCTGCTGCCTGTCCATATTATCTTGTGTTTAACTTACAAGTTGCAATTTTTGAGATATTTTGATGGAACTTAGTAGCCACCAAAGTGCTTTCGTCCAAGGATCAACCCTGTTAAAAAAGGGTTGGATTAAGCCACTTTTTCGATCACTCCTCGTATAACGGCTTATTTTGAAATGTCGTTGTATGAACAAAAAATTGCAAATTTCAAAGTTTTTCAAAGTTTTGACGTAAAAATTTTGGGTCGAATGAGGCAAATTTTTCAACACCCTTCCGTATAGCCTTATCTACGAAAACTAAATCTTTATATGGTAAAAAAAATCTAAGTATCAATATTTCATTATGAAAATTGTATAGTACTCTATAGTAATTTGACATAGAAAGTAACCTATTCACCTATCTATCAATTTTCTGAATAACCGTCTCATAGCCTGTTCTTGTGAAAAAAAACCTTTATATGGAAGAAATGTCCTCTTTCCCATATTTCATAATGAAAGTTTGGTTCAAAAGATTAATTTGATACGAAATTTAAATATATCAAATTTGGATCAAGCAGGTCTAGTTTTTGGACCGCACCACATATAAGAGTTCAGATAAAAAATAATTCCTTATAAGCCAAAAGCACCTAACTTTTAATCTTTTCTGATGAAAATATGTAACTAATAATATTTTGACATAAAAATTACCTTGAACAAATCGTAACCGCATAGGCCTATTTTTTGGACCCTCTTCTATGTGAGGTTTCTCATGATTACCTTTAAGCTATTTGGAAAAAAGGTTAACCTTTTAATGTTTTACAATGAAAATTGGTCCACAGCAGCAGTTTGGTATGAAAATTAACCAAAGGAAATTTGAATCATGTCAGTCCATTTTTTACTATGCCATATTTAGGAGAGCTCGCGAAAAGTGAATTTTTGATGACAAAGTCTAACCTATAGTTTTCTATAATTGGACGAAAAATAAGAAAATCTTTAACAAGCAAATTAAGTTAAGTCAAATTATAATCACGTTAGCCGACGTTTTGCTCACCCTCTGACATGAGGTCTTCCAAGAAAGGTATACCATTACATGAAAATAATGTATAATTTTTGGTGTATTATTAAGAAAATGATTGAATAACTGTATTAAGTGAAGAGGCCTTGCTAGACCATAATTTTTTCACTTGGTTTTATACAGTAATTTCTCAATTACGGCATTGTATGGGGAGTGGGCGTAAAAATCGTTTCGTCCAATGCATTTTCAATCTAATTCATTTTCGTTCATCTTCCTACTAAAATACGTCTGTCAAAGAACTTTCGTCAAATAAAGCGGCTTGTAGCTTGTACGGAAAATTACGTAAACAGACATCATTTACGTGACAGAGAGAAGAGCACGCTCAAATCGATCTCTTTCTTCGTCGACGTGTATAATAAGTTCTGGGTCCATCTCTAGTCCTTCTGGACATTAAAGGCATTCCCATAAACTTAATGTACCTTACTATAATATGTAGAATATATATACGGATTTGAGACGTGACAGCGGAAAGTCATTACTTTTGCTTGTGGATATTGTTTTAATAAAATCCCTTTTAAGTTCGAAAACCATCTATTCATCTATATGTTTAAAGCTTTGCCAAAAATTGCAAAAATATCCGTGAAGTCTGTATATGCAGGTAACAGTTTATACAACTACTTACGAATTGCTGCCAAATCGTTTAAATAGATTATTTGAAATTTAAAGCGCGCATGAGCTACGATATGCGGACGATATTTAAAATCAGTTGGTCTTCCATCTGCGTTACATTCTTAAATTGCAAATAAAAGATTCTGTCTCTGAACCGCGAAGAAGTTCTTTATCGTTTTTTTTTTCCTTACTAGAGAAGCGAAGGCTCATCTTAGGTGTCTCCTTCCTAGTTCTGTTAATAAATGGCGATATTGACTCATCAGCCTTATTAGGAAAGATAAACTTTAATGTCCCCTATCTAGAAATTTCATATACGTCAAGCTTGACCAATATCGATATAACTACGAACTTCTTAACTCGTTCTGAGTCCATTGGAGTCTATAATTTGATCTGAAAATTAAAGAATGTCAAATTGGTGATCCTCAGTGCGCACGATCTGTCGATGTCGATTATTTAAACTAAATCGATTAGCAAATTCATTGGTGTATAAAAATATTGGTGTATAATTAACCTGATGCCGCTGAAGTTTTCTAAGCGCAAAAAGATGTACTTCTCTAGATCATCCCCTGTTAACTACACCTACGCAATCAATGATAACAATATTGGGGATGTGATATCGTGCATTTTGGCATTTTATTTGATCGTAAAATGAACTTTAACCTCCGTACATGATCAATTGTATGTAAAGCAAAATGTTCACTGGGCTTTATTAAAGGATGGTCATGTGGCGCTTGTAAGATCGCTCTGTGGGTTTAACGTCTGCACCTGGCTTGATGCCTTAATCAGACGGGTTGCCTACAACCATTGGCACTCAATTAAGTTGAGTGATCAGGTGCGCAGATGGTTCATCGTGTATGGCCGTATGCACCGCCACTCTGGTATGTAGTGAGGCTTATCATCACTCCAGATTTATTCCAATGGATATGGAATGGTGAAAACCACAGCCACCACGATACTCTCCGAAGGGCCGTACCCAGCAGCCAGGGCTCGCAAGGATGATGTACCTTCCAACGAACTTTCCTGGTACATCACAACCCCTGCGAGCGGGTTCCTGACCCTCGTGGTGCTTAAAATTTGTCTACAAAGCCTTTAGCATTACTTTGCGCTTTGTACTACTAAAAATGTAATACGCCACTCTTGCCTTTAGACTATACCATACCGTCAACGTTAGCCAGTCCCGGACTATCTTTCTTCAAGATATATAGTTATAGGGCGTATCAATTGGCGTGACCAGATTACCATGCTCTCACCAATTACTATATTGTAGTACTTTTACTAACCAGCCACCATTGAGTGCGGTTAGATTTTCCTCTACAGTAATGGCTTCTGAGAAGATATATAAAAACTATGTCAAAGTGAACCGCTAAAACCATCTATCAGAAAACTCGTCGCCGAGTTATAATAGTCCTTTGCCTTAAACTCCTCTTCGCTGGTCGAACCGTTTCCGGGGATCACCACTTAGAGGTGAGAGTTTCGGCAATTCTATGCAAAACATAGTTTATCTCCCCGTGGCGCTTGTAAGATCTGTGCTTGTCTGGTCTCCAAGCTCTTCATGTCAGATAGACAGTATCGAATCAGTTCAAAAACGGTGCCTCTTTTTTGCATCGCCAAGGCGGGCTTGGCTGGCAGACAGTTTCGCAATGCAGAAGAAGCGTAAAAACGAATCGATGATCGGATCGTTTCTAAACAATTATTATTCTTCCGACACGGTATCACCATGTTGCCAAAAAGATGGGAAAAAGTTGTAGGAAATTATGGAAAATATTTTGATCAACACATAATGCACCAATTTTTCTCAACAAATGCCTTTTTCAAGTGATCAGAATACATACAAGCACCTTTTATTTAACATAATTCCTTAAGTATTTTATGAAGTATAATTTGCGTCTTAGTAATATTAATATGTATGCACACTTATATCGTCATTGGTAGAAAACTTTGTAATCAACTTAAATTCAACAAAATAGATAAATAAACACAAACGATGAATATTTCTTCCTTTTCATTATACAAGAAATGAATGAATCTGAGGAACGATAATAAAGTTATCAATCAATGCAAGAAAAATCGTGAAAGAAATCTTCTCGAAATGGAAAAATTAATTAAATTAATTTATTGAATTAGATAACGATGCCCAATCTCTTTTACTGCATTGCTTGTCAATAATCGCAACTTATTCGCTATTGTCTTTAGTGAAGTGAAGATTATTTTAGTCGTTAAGGAGAGTGCATATAAAATTTACTAAACATACACTTTATAATATATATGATAAACATAAAAAAATAAAAAAACTACTATTATTATCTCGATAAAATAGATGTAGATAAACAGGCAGGCAGACAGCCTTACAGTACTTTTTATATGCAATCATGCCTAAAATACAATTAAATTAAAGTAATTATAATAAATAAACAAATCCAAGAGAAGAAACTGATATAGTAGCGATGATGATAAGGCGTAAAGACATGTCTATCGTAAAAAGAAACGAATACAACAAGATTATGAGATTAATTTAATAAAAGAAGATTTTTTTCACTTTAGAAAAGTTTCACTTCTGGATTTAAACGTAACGTTCATTGTTCAGCGTTGTCTCTGCAAATCATTGGCTTTTCCTCTTTTTTTTTTTTTTTTTGAATAAAAACAAGAATGTAAAAAATTGTGAATTGAAAGAATTAATTAATTAATTAATTAATTAATTGTCATAAGTAGTTAAGACAAGAATTGTGTTTTAATATCAAAAATAGTACTTAAGTGAAGGATATAAAATAAAAAAATTGGAAAAAAAAATGATGCCTTCCATGGAGAACACTATGAAAAGTTTTAGTTTTGGTGTCGTCGACTATATAGTATTCGGGATTATGTTAACCGTTTCCGCAAGTATCGGTGCGTATTTCGGTTTCTTTTCAAAATCCAAAAACACAACCGATGAATATTTACTGGGTGGCAAAAAAATGAAAACTATACCCATCGCTATATCCTTAGTAGCAAGGTTTGTTTATATCCAGGATTTTAATTATCATCTATATTAAAAAAACTTTAGAATACATTTTTTACGTGTCACGATTGTACTGTAAGTTAAGCTTACTCTGGAGAAATGCATGCTAATGTGTACCAAAAATCTACGTACAAACTTGATTTTAACCCCTTTACAAAGATTAATTTGTCCATGCTGTGGGTGCACGCGTCGAAAAGTGTAAGCACTGTTTTAAGCGGTTCTGTTCATCTTCTTACAATTCTTAAAGTCGATTTACTAACAAGTCTACGCTTCTCCTTTTTTTTTTCTCCAATCAATCACTAAGGGGATATTCATTTTATTTTTTTTTTTACTGGCCAATCACTTAGGGGATGTTTCCCATTCGTGTAATTGCCATTGACGGCCAGAAAGAGAAGAAGTGAAGAAAGGCAATGATACAGGGAGCTGGCGGTAGGTTATGCCTTTACCGACTGAACATTCACTGTAGCCCCGACGATAGTAAACATTATCCGACTGAGATTTGATTGTGCGAATACTAACCTGTTAGTCGCGGTTATTATCTATTAGGCTACTCGTGCTGGCAATCACAAACACAACATGGTCAAGGAGAAAAACGTAGGGAAATAGAGATAAGAAAGCGCTGCTGCACCCTGAGAGCTATATTCCGGCTTTGTAATTAATATATGCTATTTCGACTTCCTAGACATACTTCTTATCTACCAAGGCACCATCAAGGTGACTGTAAGGAAGAAGTATTCACGGTTGAAATAAATATTTTAGTACGCATTATCAGCTGATATGTAGCATATTTTTCTTCTTTTTTTTTTTGCAAAATAGAAAGAAGACCCATACATTCGATGTATAGATCAACCCTATATATTTCAATTATACTTCATGACGTCAACTATATATTTCAAATTATGTTTTCGCACACTTTTGCAGCGTTTTGTAAATTAGTATTGATAGGGGTTGGTCAATAGAATCATTTATTTGATTTACGAACTTAGACTGAAAGGAACGATACGGAAAAATTTCACACTGATTTTTGAAGATGCAAAAGTGATTTCAGCAGAGTAAGGGTAAGTGAGCACCTACACGGAAGTCAATTCCGCTTTTCACGCTAGTCCGAATGCGCTGATCCGTATCAGTTACTATATCTACAATATATGATAAGTCTATTCTACGCTATGACGCTTAGTGTTCGTATAAAACGAAAGAAATTATCAACTTTTTAACAGTTGCGGACAGTTCACTGACCGATTTCGCTAATTATCCAATTTAGAATGAGCAGAATGGTAAGAAGAAAAACTCGTTTATAGCACAAGAAACACCACAATCGTGATTCGAACAAACGAGTAGGCAAGTAGGCTTGTTTTGGGGGATTCGACAATTTACGCTAATAAGGAATATGTTTACTTTATAAAGCCTTCCTTGCGGTTTTCAAAACCCTTCAAGGATTAGACTAGTTTCAAAAATGGAAAAACTTCGTGATATTTTTTTCTTTTGCTATTTTTCTGGTTGGCCCATTAGCCGATTACCGTCGAACCTCTGGGATATCCGAGCAGTCACCCGGAGTAGCTGATTTTTAAAAGTCTTTTTTGTACTCGCCTTTAGATCATTAAGAGGGCTTTACAGAGAGGGCAACAAATGGTTGCTAACCAGGCCAAAATTTGGATAAATCGGTGAATGTACAAACACTTCCCCTCCAAATTGTTTCTTCTTGTGCTTGGCAAACTCACTTAAGATTCATATGGTCTGACATTGTCATTATGGAAGTTGACTGTTTCTACCTGAAGATTTCATTTCAATTGCGCGCTATAAACGAATTAATTGTTGAATGAGCTTATAATAAACGATTAGCTTTCAAACGAACTAAAGACAAAGTATTAGCTTAGGTGGCGCCAATCGGAGTTTTGCCACCGTTCCGGCAATTTCATTCATGTTTTCCCACGTGATTCAAAATCTCTTTAAAAATTACTTTGACTTTCCGTTCCGCTTCAGCAACGATTCATAGAACGGAAGTTCAGTTCGTTAGGATATCCAAATATAAAGTTCCTTCTTGTCTTTAGACTTAAGCAAATAGTTCGAAACTGCTTTTTTGATCAGTGTTTATTCCGCCTGTGATGTTGTACGAAAAAATACACTGGTCAGCCCCAATTTTTTAAAGAACTCCATCGATTTTGTTGACGATTAAAGGCTCTGAGCACGGCATGCAAAACGACTTGCCATTTACCCGACTGATTATCATAAAACATGTTCACCATAAACAGTACGAAGTGTTTCACAGCCCTACGAAGCCTTATCGCTTTGGCCGAAATGATTGCAAAAAGAGAGCGAATTTTTTCATAATATTAGCTGCGGCAAATGTCGCAATGCTTTTTCAACTATCTACTGTCATCTCAAAAGAATGCAACACTGTAACCCTTTATTAGGAAAATTTTCACAAATTGTTTTGTCCGTCCCATTGAATACCCGTAATGGATATAGAAATGAGAAATTATCAGTTGATGAGCCAACAAACAAACGATTTTCAAATGTAATCGTGAAAGAAAGAGGAGAAACTTGCAAGTCAAGTTTATTCTTCTATACCGACAGGCAAACAGACAAACAAAGCGACATGGCCGATGTTAAAAAATAGATTTTCGATACGCCGGCCCCCCCCCTGGCGAAAATAGAAAAAGAATGCGACTAAATCGATCGCACTCTTCACTAAGATAAAGAACATAAATGCTTCATGACATCTGCGAAGCGTATCTAAGCACTTTCTAAGCACTTGACAAATTCAATACATTCCCTGCGGCGATTTTAGGGCGCCTATCCCAACATGGTAAGTACAAAAGATTCGCGGATAAGACGAAGACATAGCTCTCTTCCTCGCCCACTATTATTCTTCGTTAGCAAAAGCGCGGATTCGAAAATAACTTTTACTTTTGTAAAATTAAAAATTTCTTCTTTTATTTCTCACAATAATTCATTTCATTTCAGCCAATTATCCGGTATAGCCATTATACGGTATATATAGTTTTACTCGGTTATTAGAGCAATCAATTCGTCAATTCGGGTAATACAGACATTTGCTTGCGGGGCAGAGGGTGCAGTTCTTCATATTCGTCTTCAGAGTTGACCGTCGATGATTGCAACTTTTACTTGGCGAAGGGCCAATCGCATCTTCCTCACAAGATTTTGCATCAATCCGTTTACTGCAGTCATCTTCGGTAGAAGTTCTTTTTTGCTTCGTTTCTTTCATGTCTTAATTATCGGAAATAATTATATAAAATGAAGTTTATTAGTAATATAAAATTCATTTCATTTCAGCCAATTATCCGGGATAGCCATTATGTCAATACCAGCTGAAACTTATTCTTATGGTTTGGCTTACATCTTTCTTGTCTTGTCGAATATTTTAGTGGTACCTACCTTAACCTATATAATAGTACCAGTATTCTATGAGAACAACATTTCAAACTGTTACGAGGTAGATATTATTTACGAACTTTCCCATAAAGCGTTTAATATTAAAATGCATTTTGAAATATTTTCAAGTATTTACAAATACGTTTCAATAAATCAACTCGGCGAATTGTGACGTTGTCGTTTGTCTTGAATGCATGCTTAATGCTGCCCGTCTATATGTTTATACCATCACTGGCCTTTTCTCAGGGTAAAATTGAAATAAATATTCAATTCCAAAAAAATGGAAAAGAAAAATCAGTTTAATTAAATGTGAATTTAAACTAATTTTCATTTATAGTGACCGGCATAAATATTCATTTGATTAATACAATCGTCTGCTCCATTTGCGTGTTTTATACAATGCTGGTAGGTTCCTAAACATACGCGCTGTGCTCAAAAAGAAAGACCAATTTCAATTTTTTTCGATTTATAAATTTATTCGGGTCTCCGGACGCGCGACACTCAAATAATATTCATTTGTTAACTGCTTGCCTCGGCGGAAAAGAATTCATAGTGCGCCACACCGCGATAAGCGAAGAAAATTGTTGAAGTCATCTTGACTTTGGCTGATCTTGTGCGCGATATTCGCTCAGTTGACAGAATCCACGCCTCATCTGCCGTAATAAAGCGTTTCACGACCGACTAATACATTTTTGCTCAACAAGATCATGCAAAATACTTTCCTTGCCGCACAAAACCAAATGCAGCTGAAACTTGATGTGTGTGCAAGTGCTAACAATTTAGAAAACTGGAATATTCGTCTTACTTTTTGAACATTATATTTATAAAGAAAGTTTTTCAATTATATATTTTACTATTCCTCTTTTGCTATTTCTTCTAAAAGGGTGGCATTAAAGCGGTGGTATGGACAGACGTTGTTCAAGCTATGGTTATGTTATCTTCTGTAGTTTTAGTTAGTTACTTGGGCGTTCTGAAAGTCGGCGGTTTAAATAAAGTTTTTGAAAATGTTGAGGCTGGTGGCCGTTTAGATGTTTCGTGAGTCCTATTGAAAAGCTTACAAGCCGAAAGTAATGAAAACTACTACAAACAATGATTCATTTATAGGTATTCCTTAGATCCTCGGATACGTTCGTCATTTTTCAGCCTCTTCATAAGTGGTTATCTTATGTGGACGGGTCATATTGGTCTAAATCAAATTTGTGTCCAAAGAATTGTTTCTTTACCCACTATACAACAGGCAAAAAGGTAAACACTGTTAACTTCATGTAACGAAATATAATTCAAATTTAGATTTTCAGAGCTTTAACTATAACTGGCATTGGTATTATAATTATTATGAGCTTCAATGCTTTCACAGGGCTATTGATGTTTGCTCGTTACTTTGGATGTGACCCCATTCTGGCAGGTGTAAGTATAACAAGTAAGAAAATTATTTTTATATAAAAAAACTCGCAAGTTTCCCGTTAATTGCGAGCCGAAGAAAATTATTTTCATAACAAATTCTTACATGGCTCTGATGAATATTTATGACAAACGCACTGATTGTAATCTGTATGTGTTTTGGTAAATGTGATTTCTGTAGACACGGCAAATTTAAAAAACGAAAATTATATTCAACGATGATCGAATCGTTTACTTTGTTCAACTTATTCTTAGAAGAGGTACAAAAACCAAAAGAAATGAAAAATTAAACGATTCTTTATTATATTGGCTGGTCATGACCGATTTTGTTAATTTTTATGCGGACCAATGTTTTCTTGACTTATGTTGCATTGTGGGTATGTCCTTTGACCCATTTGAAGAGTCTTTAGCACCAATCTGTCCGTAAGAACTTCCAATCTTCTTGCCAAATTTAAAGCCGCTACCCTTCACTCTTGCAAACGGCAGAATGTTCACCGCTGACGAGAATGCGGAACGAACGTCCGAGAGGCAGACGGCACTCTGCTACTAATCGAGAGTAAGCGCGGAAGGGTTTAAGACAGAGCCACATTTAAGAATCATTCCTTGACTCGATTGATGCTTACTTATCTGTCTGCCGTTCTAAAGTTTGTCCCCAAGTACTTTTATGCTCAACGGGTTGTTCAATGAGTCACAAATTTTTAAGATGCAGCAGATCTTAAGAGAAGCCCAGAAAAGATTAAGATAGAATCATTCTCTAAATCGATTGATGCTCACCTATCTGTCTGCCACTCTGAAGTTTGTCCCTGACTACTTTTTAGGCTCAACCGGTTGTTCAATAAGTTGCAATTTTTAACATGTTTTCACGTAATTTATTACATTGGCGTATCCTTTTTCGAGCTTTTCGAAAATTTATTGGGTCGGAGCATTTTCACAAACATTTCCCATAAAAAAGTTGATTTTAAAATTTGATTATATGAAAAGAATTTACCACTTACTAGATTTCCCTACAACAGTCGGTAGGCGATAATAAATGTGAAAAACGTGAATCGGCTGAATCAATATCTTAGGCCTGTTCGTAAATATTCTTTCTTCCGAAAAGTATGGCAAGAAATTTAATATTTAATATTTTATGATAAAAATTGTTCCACAATTGTAATTTGATACACATATTCAGACCTAGGTCTAATTTTTGATGTCCAACCCCGAATATAAAGAATAGAAATAAAGCTGCATTTCTTTATGTTGCTTCATAAACATGTTTTCACCGCTTCACACAAGAGACACTGTCAAATGAATGTACAACAGTAGGCAAGAATCGAAAATAAAATTAGGACGAGACCGGTGCCTTTTGCTAGCACTTCGTCCTCAACACCGAGTTGTAAAAGACGCATTCCGTACGCGCCATTATAAATAACCCTGGGAAACATGTCTATTGTTCTCCCTCTAGGGTGATGGTCGCAATTTCGTTGATCACACTCTTTTGCAACACTAATTATATATGATCAATTTTGCTATATTTTGATCAGATGATCGTATAATGAATGCATTTAAAATTTTGTATTAATTTGGCAGCACGCCCTACATGATTGTACAAATGAAAAACCGCATCCGCACTTTATCTCCTTTGTGTTAGTGTTTTGCTAATTAGGAAATAACCTAATAAGAGTCATTCAATTTTTGTACCCATCGCCGAAGGGTGAACGATTCCTCGGATTTAATGTATTGACCGTGTATCGTGTCATACATATCGTATGTAATATAAACCAAGTATTTTTAACGATTTGGCAACACCTTCTGGGTGATTGTACAATCTAAAAGTCAAGTTCATCTTTTCCGTTTCATTTTCATACAAATCACCAAAGGATGAGAGATACATTCAATTTTTCATAAGCAGAAGGAAGTTTCGTAAATCCTACAAAGCATATGCCATCTTGATCAGCATCAAATTCGAAATCGATGTAAGCATCTCCGTCTGATGGTCTGTCTGTCTGTCCGTATAGGTAATGTTAAAATTCTCCTGATCGCAAAAATGAAGCAATCGATTTCAAATTTAGCAGAAATATTGGAAATTCTTGCAGGCAGCTTGGTATTGAAAATGGACCAAAGCGATCGAATGAAGCGCCCACAGCACAACGTAAACTGAGAACACCTCTATTTTTCAAAGGGAATGAAAAATTGGTTTTTTGCTCATTGCTCATAAACTATAGCAGACAAAAATTTGAAGGCATATTCTATAGTCAATGCTGTAGTGCTCGCACAAAAACGAAAAAACTTACCAAGCCTACTCAATATTATAGTGTATCAAAATTTAACTATTAACTATTTGATTTTTTTTAATACATTTATAATGCGCAGAAATAAGCTTCAAAAGCCCGTGTTCATCGAACGATTTGGTCCATCTTCAATACCAACATGCGCGCAAGAACTTCCACTATTTCAAGAATATATATAGTCTGTGGCTTCGCTAATGCTTTCTTCCGGGCGTTGCAAACGTCTTGACAAAATGAATATACCCTATATCCTTGGGTGAAAGGTATAATAAATCCAGTTATACTTTATTTAAATAAATTACTGTCTTAGCATTTGGAGGACACCTCTCCAACGTAGTTGATAGTGAAGTTGATTTATTATGGGTTTTGATAAGAACAATATAAAGAGCATCTAATTTAGTTCAAGGAAGCGGAAATTTTTAGTTCATATATTAAGTAAGTGAGTGATAATAAAACTATATTGATTTGTACTTCAGGTGGTCGAGAAGCCTGATAAATTGATGCCTTTCTTTGTACAAGATGTTGTTGGACATTTAAAGGGCGTACCAGGCGTTTTCATTTCTTGCGTTTTTAGTGCTTCTCTTAGCACCATGTCGGCGATATTAAATTCCATGGCCGGTGTAGTTTATTTCGATTACATTAAGCCTTGGATAAGACATACGGAAGCACGAGCAAATGCTGTTATGAAAATTTTCGTCGTTGTTATGGGCTTCTATTGCATTGCCAGCGGTTTAATTGTGCAAAGATTCACTTCTATTTTACAAACTATCATAACTATAACTGGGATAAACACCGGTGCTGTAGTCGGTGTATTCCTTTTGGGTATGTTTGTACCACGAGCTAATGGAAAAGTAAGTAAGCAACTCTGAGCTTATCTGAGCCACCTAGAAAAGGAAACGAAAGCATCAAAGTTTATTCAAACACTTTCTAAATTTCAGGCGGCCGTTACGTCTGTCGCTTTTAGTATTCTAACGATGTTATGGATTATTGTAAATGCTCAATTACGCTTCAAAGCCGGTCACATTAAATACGAACCATTGCCTACAACTTTAGATAACTGTCATATCCATGATTTTCGAGCAGTCATTACAAATATGTAAGACAGAGTGAGAGAAAGAGAGAGATAGGGATTTCTTTTCCCCAAAAATTGAAACAAACATTTTTTTTCTTTTCCATAAAAGCTCTACTACGCCAGCATCATCCATTCTACAAAGCACCCACTCCGAAGAAGTGCCTTTGCTAACTACGGCTTTTGGTAGCAATCAAGATTTTTCTATTTATGATATCACCTTCTATTGGTATAAGGTATTGGGTGTTGTCTTAGTATGGCTGTTGGCGATTCCACTCAGCTATGTTTGGAAATCAAGTGAAGAAAAATTGAATCCTAAATTATTTACACCATTTGTGCGACGATTCTTAACTCAACGCAGTATAGAAATGGAAGAAATGCCCTTGAAAACAGCTAAATACGTTACACCAAACACAAATACAACAGTAGTTGTTCCACTCAACGCGGAAGAGAATAATAAATTAAAGTAATGAATAGTTTTAAAATTTTTAATAAAATTTAAGATTTACTCTAAGAAAAAAAAGTTGTATTTACATTATGTGAAACGAGAATGGAAAAATGAAGCATTTATCTCAAGATTCAGAAAACTGTGTTCATCGTAGGACATAAACTAACACCTGATGGTGGAGGGCGCCCTTTTGGGTGCATGGTATGATTGCTCATAAGAAGTGTACATAGCGACAAACCAGAGCCGCTGTTGTAGTCGCATTTGGAACATGATCAAATGTAGTAACGGCCGTCGTAGGAACGAAAATTGCTCTAATACCTAATATTTTATGGTTTGCACCTTATTTACAGGATGTATGGGCAAGTGCAAGGACCTTTCGCTGGTATTGCACGCTAATGTGCATAAGACATTGTTAAGCTTTAATTTGCTACTTTCTTATCGCTTAGAAAATTTGTTAAAACATCTTTGAATTTTGTTAAGTGAAAACACCACAACCACTGGTAATATATGAATTTTGTACAAAAATTTCTTAGCATATTCTTTCTGAACATCTTCTGATTTCATATTCAATAAACGTTTTTATATTAATTCAGATTTGTTCCAGGCTTCAAAGAAATCTTTTTAGCATATCTGAGTTCGAAATTTCAACGTATGGCACTCTGTCTTAATAAAGAAGATTGAATGAATTTTGTCGTGATAATACTTTAAATTGTTTTTTTTTAATCAATAATTTTTTTTTTTTTAATATATATGCAAAGCAGTAAAAAGAAATAATTGTATATATATAAATGGATTAATAAATATATGAATAGCTGATAGTCTTGAGCCACTATAAATAAACAGAAGAGAGAAATTATATTCAGCCTGCGACGAATTTTATATTTAGGACGTTTCAACAGCTTACTGCGAATCTTCAATGGATGAAATTTATCGACCTGTCGCGGTGGAATTCAACAACAACGCTGGCTAAATGAAAATCTTCTTTTGCGCTCTGATGACAACTTTTTTACTCTATATATGAATACATATCTAAAGGGAAAGAGTATCATGCAAAAGCATCATATAATCCGCCAACTGAATTTTCAGTTTTATTTTCTAATTGTAACTTATATTAATCAAGGACGAATCATCTCTTAACTTAACAAAAACTAATAAGACCTGATCAACTTGTCCGGCAAAATAGCATAACAGTATAGCTTTTTGCACTGCTTCCCGAAAAAAAAATACGTCTCTTTTTGGGTAGCTTAAAAAAGTAAACTGTCACTCTTCCATAAAACCAAGGAAAATAGTAGCTAGAAATGGATGATTCCATTTTGAATACAAATCTTGAAGTTTTCTGACAACCGACATTATCTAAATTCAAGCTTCTGTTACCCATCCTGGTTTGTTACCAACTTTGATCACTTGATATGTCGACCGTTTATTATCCATATTCAAATCTTATTTTTATACTTTTAATGGGATTCGTACAAAGTCAATGCAACATTAGCAAATATGCTGCGTTTATGCTTTTCTGGTGCTTTAAAGTTGTGTGTTCTAGGCTAGATTTACTTGGTGTGCGAACTATTCAATTTATTTTTATATCCGACATCACTACACATCTTTTTATTATACCGATCAATTCAGGAGCACTTTCGTAATCAATAGAAGCTTGTCTGTCCATCTTGTTTCTTGTATATAACTTACAGGCCACAACTTATGAAATGATGATTAATGAAATTTGTTACACTTTTTCAATCATTTCCCTTGTAACGGTTTATTTTGAAAAAATTATATGAATAAAAGTTACAGTCGCGTAAAATAATTCATAGAGAGCCGCGACCCGATGCAGTCTTTCCTTTTTTTTAATTCATTAAAATGTTTGAGACGAAGTTTTTTCTGCAAAGCAATATCTTTACGTTTATAATTTCGATCTACCAACTTTCAACAAAAAATTTCAAAAATTGCAGCCTGCAGGTTCCACACAAAAAAAAAAACAAGACGGACCTTAGAATCACTATCCAAATCGATCGATATAATAAATCATGGATGTTGCATCCATTCAATATCGGGATAGGTTATAACAAATCATCTCGGCGAGAGTTACCTACTGCTTCCCCAGTCGACACTACTGAATGTGTGGTACGTATGGTCTAATGATTAAATAAATTAATTAATTTGTTCTCATTTATTTTATTAAAATTTGTATAAATTTATGGAAAAACTAAAACATATAATGAGAACGGAAAAAAAAAATGAAGTTTTTCCTTTTTTTTTCTCTCTCATTGCTTATTCAAATTTTTACAGATAAATTGCTGCTTAGAGACTTTATTAAGACAAATTCTGTTTTTTTTTTTTTTTTTTTTTTTTTTAAATCTTTTTAACATGGTTCAAAATATTGTTTAAACAAGTAAGAAATCTTTATCCGCCAGAAGGGGCGAATTCCGGATACCCATCACCTCAAATTTCAAAAATTCGCGTAAATATCTTTTCTTTTACACAAACTATTAACGTAACTGATCTGATTTCAGTTTGCCAACTGCTACAGATTGATCGGAATATATAAGAAAATTGTAATTCCAATTTTTAATTTTAATCGAGTTCCATGAAGAAGAAAAATAAAGCAACATTTGCTATGGTTGTTGAAATTTCCGCATTAGTTCAAGTTATTAGAAAGAATTTAAAATTTGAACGGACAGATGTGTCGATTTTGATTATAATTCAAATTCTGAAGCTCTTTGATCACAAAATCAAGGGGAATGGCCTCGCTAAGTATGCTTTCAGTTTCTCCCATGGGTGATGGATATAAAAATGACAAAATTAAATTTTCATTTCTCTTTTTTACAACGTTGTGTATAACACTAAGTTAAACTGTAAATTATGCACTTCATGGCGTTTACGTACTACGGCTAACTAAACTAATACAACACATGTACATACAATATGTATTGTTTTTTATATAAAAGGTTTAACGAATTAATTGATTTAAAAATGTTTAATTTATTCATGTGAACTTTGTAGATTATTACAAGTTTTGTGTATGTATGTGTGTAAATATAAAACTAATATGCTTTAGCATTTATTTCTACAACTATGTATATATACATCTATATATTTATATATATGCATATATTTTTTTATACACTGCTTTACTATTTTTGTTAAAAAGTAAAAAAAAAAAAATCCTTTTATTTAAGAGAGAACCAAGTATGAAAAAAATTGAAAAAATAGGTCAAATATTTATGGAAAGCCATAGTAGTAGAAAACTCGGATGTTTTCAACAATATATATAAATATATATATATATATATATATATTGTTTAGTCATTCCTTTTTACTTCGATAACGAAAGTATTTTGTTTATATATATTTTCGTCGTAAAAGTCAAAAAGTAGACGAAAACTTTGTGACAGCTTTTTTCAGCTTTATACAGTGAAGCATATTTTGAAACGTGGAGAGTCACCTATAACTGTCTGTATGTATGTGTACATTGTCTTAAGTTTTCATCCCTACTATTGGCTTAGGCTCAGAAAGAAATATTGAGCAGAATAGTTTAAAAAAAAGGGCAATTTTTATGCCTTGCTATTGGCGGGAGAACGATATTTTAAAATTGAACCAGAAAAATCGTTTAAAAACCTAGTGTCTACTGTGCTGTAGGCTGCAAATGAAGGCAAGTTTTTAATTATAAATTTGCGGCGAAGTTGGAGTATTGACGTCAGCCGTTGTTGATATGGTGGTTGTGGTGGTGGTTGTGATAATTTTTGGTTCACCTATAAATAATGACAAAATAAATAACAAAAACTTGAAAATATCACAACCGTGAAAATATCATTACTTACATATGTCATTACTGGTCTTATTAATGTCATTAGCAGTAGTAGCGACAATCGGTTTAATTGCAACGCTTTCTGAATTGTTTAATATCTCTTCGTCATTGTCGTCTTCAGGTTCTGTCGTATCTTTATCTGATGTATTATTAACAGTTTCTTGATGTATAATTTCATTATCGGTTGCTTCGTTTTCATCAGCCAATGGCTCCGCCATGGCGCTAATCAATGGTATACTATTAACTGTTGGTTCCGCTACGGGTTCAGTTAATTCATCTTCCACTTCTTCGACTTCTTCTACTTCGTCATCCTCTTCTTCAGCTTCTATTTCGTATTCTTCCTTTTGTTTATTTTCAGCTGGTTGGGTGCGTCGATTTTCATTAGCTACCCCCGAAATTGCTTTCGTTAATTCAATTGCTTCTTTTTGTTGGTGTTGTGCTTCTTGTACCTCTTGCAATTCCGGTTCTTCTTCTGGTTCTTCGGGTACTTCTTGTTCTTCTTGTACTTCTTGCACATCATGTATCTCTTGCACTTCAGAGCTATCGTCATCATCTTCTATTAGCTCAACTACATCATTGCTTTTCGAGCTTGAATCGACTTCCATCGGCTCAGGAGTATTTTCTCTCGATTGCTCAGCTTCCTTCCCTTGTTTAGGTTCTTCAGTAAGATCTATTTTTGTTATATCTTTAGACTGTTCATCCTCAATATTGGTAGCTTCTCTTGATTCGTCCGTTTCCATTGGGCAAATCGATTGCGATTCTCCTTTAGTTTCTTCTTCTAGCTGTACTATTGCTTGCTCTTCGTCTTGCGAGGAGAGTGATTTTTCTACAGACACTTGCGCCGACTTATGATCGTCAGTTAAATCAACTGCTGTAGTACTTTCTGCTTCTTCAGGCACGATTTTGAGGATTGAATCAACTTTATCTTCTTCTTCCTCTACGATACAACCTTCAGATTTAGCGCATTCTTCTTCTATTTCCTCATCTGCTTTTAATATGATTGCGCTTTGTTCTGGCCTTTGATTAACCACTTGGTTAGTTTTTATATTTTCATCAATTTTCGCTTCGAACTCAGTTTGCTGAAAGTGTTAATATTTATTAAAGTAAGAAGAAGTTTTAAATAAACACCGCATAATTTCATTTAACTTACGTTTTGTATTTGCTTAGTGTCTTCATAATCAGATTTCTCTTCTTCACGTTCGGATTTTTTGCTACCTTTAGCTTTCTTATTATGCTTAACGGGGGTTTTTCTTTTAATAGGCGTAGCCGTCGTGGTTTCCTCTAAATCTCGTTCGACTGACGTATCTATCTTACGGCCGCGTACTCGAGAACGAGGCGGTGGTGAGGCTCCACTAGATGGTGAATTGCGAGCTTTTTTAGCAGGTGGTGGTGTAATAACAACCGCAGCTCTACTCGGCGTCCCGCGCGTACTCGAACGTGTACGACGTCCACCTTCTAATTCTAAGCTGCCCCCCATGTTTCTTACTAGCTCTTCGCTTTCTCTTTGCGCGCGTTCTGTGAAAGTTAAGCGTTTTGAGGGCGTGCGTTTTGCCTAAAATAATAAAATAGAAATTTTACAAAAGCAGAAATTACAATAAATATTAAAGTGTTAGCAAAATGTCACTAAAATAATACAAAAATTGGAAAGAGAAATAAAAAAAAAGCCATTATCTTCGCTTTGGTCCGAATTTTTCAATAGCAATTAATGTACGATGTTTGATTGAAAGATAGTATATATCGGCCGTACGTCCTATCGTACATATAATATATGTTATAAACCTATACGGGACACCGTACATCGTGTCATACATATTATGTATAGTGTACTCTAAGTATATTTAACGATTTGGCACCGCTTTCTAGGCTAAAAATCAAATTCATCTTTTCCGTTTCATTTCTATACCTGTCCCCTTCACTTTCTCATAGCGTTTGTAATAACCAGAAGGAAGCTTCGGAGATCCAACAAACCATATATAATCTTGATCAGCATCAATTTCTAAACCTGTTTAAAAACGTCTGTTGGAAATTCTTGCACGCAGATTGGTATTAAAAATGGGACAGACGATTCAAGGTGCACGGCGACAGTGCAAAATAATCAAAGAGCGCCACTGTTTTCAAAAATCAAAAAAAGAATAGGCGGCCCTTTGCTGTTTACTTATAAATGACAACAGATACAACGATAACAAATTGCATTTGCATTTTTTGGGTGGCCATGCAGCATCTGTACAAAAATGGAAAAAATTGGATATGCCTATAGAATATGTTAAATGTGATCAAAGTTTTAGTTTTTCCACTTTCTTGATGATTTTCGCTCATTATTTATGAGATGAAGAAGACAGAATGTTGGGAATAATTCCCGCATATTCCTCACATGAAAATGTCGGTCTAAAGGTATGTTACTTCTGAATAAGTATCCACAGCGCGGAACATTCGGTTGGTTGTCAAATAAGAGGACTTGGACTTGGAGAGTAGAATGCGACCAGGTAAATGTCTTACTGTGATGGATATAAAAGATTCTCTCGCAGCGGAACCTAATTGTCTTATTTGCATAGCATGTGAATTTATTTGATAATCACATAGCGTGTGTAGTATGTGGAGATAAGAAAAAGTTTAGTACCAAGGTTATTCTTTCTTCTAAACATAATTTTGTTGTCTTAATGGTAAATTTAAGCAATTGAAAAAATTATATTCGGCGGATGCCGAACTACTACTCTCTACTCTCCAACTTCTTTGATTTCATAACCATATCGCTAGTATTATTAAGAAACAATTAACCTACCAAAATTAATCCATTCTTAGGCAGATAATATATCTTCATTTAAGGAATATACAAAATAGTATTAAACATTCTGTCATGTTTGCCTTATGAAAACTCAAAAAAGTGATTAAAAGTAAATTTAATCACTTGTAACTTCGCGTGGGCATGGCCAAGTTTTTCTATTTTTTGCACCTAAGGGGTAGAGTGGTTGGTAAAGTAAGCGTGGAAAATTTCAGCTTTCTAAGTTTAATAACTTCCAAGTAAGGAGCAAAAACGCACAATTTTTTGTAAAGAAAAACGGAGTTGCGTTCAGTTTGCGCTCCACTGCGCACTTCTGTTCTGACCAATTTGACCCATTTTCAATATTAACCTGCGTATTAAAATTTCCAATGTTTTTACCAAATTTGAAGTCGATATTTTCATTTTTGCTGCCAGGAGAGTGCCAATAACGAACACCACACAGACATACAGACGGACAGACAGTTCATTAATAAATTATCAACTTAAATAGCTGGAGCTACGTGAAGTTAAACATTCAGGTTAAGTAATAATGCAATAGTATTGTAGGTACTATAAACGAATTGTTTCTAAGCATAATCTTTATCTACTTAGTATAATCAATCTAAACTGTATTTAGGTTAAAGTTATCCTGCATTGGCCATTTATTAGCTAATATTTTATCTATATTACATTATTAACATTAGGCTCAACCATCAGCTAAACTGACTTATACCCACGCATGCTTTCAAATTTCTTCTTATCCCTCTCGTCACGTTATGTTCAAAGATCGCTTAGAACAAATCTACGCAATGATCTACATGCCAATTTGCTCCTGAAATCATATCCACAAACTTTTGCTCTAAAACTGTTTATAAATTCGATCCTTAAAACTATCATAAGGGAGAGAGAGAGAGAAGGCTTCCTAACTATTAGAAGAACATGTATTTACAAGACGAAGTAAAGAAGTGTCTGCATTACGGGCAATCGACCGTTGAACGGATGCCAAATTGTATACAGATATGATTTTTGATAAATACATGATGTAAACGATGTCCTAATACGTGCCATGCTCTTCATGTACAACGTACTAGGATAAATAGTATAATGCCAGTCTGTCCATCCATTTCTTTTTTAAAATCGCGATTTTGATCTCAAAATTTTGTTTAGATGGTAAGTTGCTATTGATACATAAAATAAAGTCTGTTTGTCCGTCCATCCATTTTTTAAAAACGCGATTTCAATCTAAAAGTGTTTTTTAGAAGATTAATAGCAGTCGAGCGAACAAACATAAAATATTTCAAGTTTATTGTTTTAGATAAAGTATTGATGTCCTAATAGTGACTTCAACGGATAATTGAAAATTTTTAAATCCAATATACTTTTCATAGCAGAAGACACAAACATGGTAAACCCTTACTAAATTTTGCATATAATTAAAATGAAATTAATTTTTAAAATGTTTTACTTTTTATTATGAAAAAAAATAAATAAATAAATAAAAGAGAAACAAATCCGGCAACACTTAACGAAAGGTTTGATAAAAGAAAAATCAATGAAATTTCGCGCATCATTTTCAACTGCGCAGTAAAACATGCCAACCAAGTGGCCTCCACACTTTGGTATCAAAGAATATCAGTCCGTGGCAGAATTTTCACAGAAACAAATACAGAATTTACTAAAGAAGTATTGTAAGTATTACATCAAAAAAAAAAAAAAAAAAAATTTTTTTTAAATACAAACTATTTAAAAAAAAATTAAATTGATTAATGAATTAAATAAAATCATAATCGCTTAAAGGTAAAATTAAATATTTAATTTTAATAACAAATGATTCGCGATAACTAAGAAGAGCAGAACACATACGCATATATAGGTAAAAAGTGTAAAATGAATTTTAGCCAAAAATGTGCAGTGAGTGGAAAAATCAAAATTAACTCGTAAAAATATGCACGAGTGCATCCAAACTATTAAAGTGTGTAATATGTAAATCAATTTAGGCTTAAAGTAATATTGATTCAAAAGGGGCAAAAAAATCAATAAAATTTAAATTGTCATTGCTGCCCCCCTGTCCCTGGCAAAAGACTTTTTCTGCCTTTGTTTCGGAACTTTCAAAATCCCATAGCTGCTTTCAATTACTTCTTATCATTGCGATATTAAGTGGGTAATGGCGTTGATAATATGTATACAGGAACAAAATCGGCCGATCACTCATTACTTTAAAAGCAAAGTATATATTCATTTACTTTTTATCCTCGGGCAAGCTAAAGAAAGGGAAAGTGGAAAGGAGAGTTTCAAGCGAAACTATCTTTTACTTCACTGAGCTTGGATTTGCACACCCTATGTTATGTTTCATAAGATTTATTAAAATTCCTTTTCAGTCAATTCCGAAAATAGTTTTTTTTTCCTCTACATAGAGCTTATGCTAAGACATAAGATAAAAGTAACTTTCATAGTTGAGTGGACCAACAGAATGTAGGTTTACAGTTTATTGCCTTAATATGCATCATCCTTCTTGCATATGAGGTATGCGAACACTTTTGGTATGAATATATGTAAGCGAAAAAGCAAGCGGTGGGACTAAAGTCTCAAAAAATCCGGAAAACTACAATTCATTAAAAAATTTAACCTCACTATAAAACTTTGGAGTAAATCTTGAACGATCACTTAAAATATATATTTGTATATATATATGTATGAATCCATTTCTCTTTTTTTTCACTTAAGCAAATAAGCCCGTAACCACTTAAAAGCCCGCTTAGTAAGTAACTAAATAATATTTCGAGTTAAAGTATTTTGAAAAATTCAAATTTTTGAATTTTGCTTTAGTTTCCTGATTTTTTAAAAAGTAATACGATATAAGTTATTTAGCTGCAAATAGATGCAACGGCATGTTTCTAACCACCAATCCCTTAATTTGATTAATTTAAGGAATTCCTCCAGACCGATCGTGCTGATCGCAAACACAAGTTTTTCACGATTTTAATTCACTTTCGCAGAAGCACTTTAAATTCTGACCAAAACACGAAGCATCTTCAAATAGGAAGTGCGCTAAAATCAAATTTAAATACTTCTTCTTCTTCTTTAGTTCTTTAGATGAATTGTATGTGTAGCACATGAAATAAGCCGAAATTTTATACACAATATGTGCAGACTACGAGAGGTTGAAAATCATCGCCTCTTTGCACATTACAACGATTCAAGTGCAGTTAAAAGCTTCGCACATGAAATTACTCTGGAGTTTAAAGGGTATGCGGGCAATAGCATGCGCACACGCACTCCCATACATAAACCCACACAAACAAAAACCGACCATCCACCCCCACCCCCCCTCCCCCCTTTTCTTATACGCACACACACCGCAAAAATTCTTAATTTTCATTTCAGTTCCTGTATATAGTCCGGACTATTTATTAAAAAAGAAAACACGAAATGTCACTTTTGAAGTGTTTTGATGATGAACGTGAATCAGAGTACGGCCGTGTTTTCGCTGTATCTGGTCCAGGTACTTTACAGATTTTCATCTGCTTAGCTTGCCTTTATTAGAAAATTTCTGATGCAAAGTATTTTCTCAGTTGTTACGGCCGACTGTATGTCCGGTTCGGCTATGTACGAATTGGTACGTGTCGGTTATTACGAACTGGTTGGTGAAATTATTCGCTTAGAAGGGGACTTAGCCACTATACAAGTTTATGAAGAAACATCTGGAGTTACAGTGGGCGACCCGGTACTGCGAACTGGCAAACCATTATCAGTGGAATTGGGACCGGGTATTATGGGCAGTATTTTCGATGGTATCCAAAGACCTCTTAAGGATATTGGCGAGCTTACCAGTTCCATTTACATACCCAAGGGTGTGAATGTGCCCGCGCTATCGCGCACGCAGAGCTGGGAATTCAATCCGATGAATGTGAAGGCTGGCACCCATATAACCGGTGGCGATTTCTATGGTGTGGTTTACGAAAATACTTTACTTAAACATCGTTTGATTGTGCATCCACGTGCCAAGGGTACGGTACGCTTTGTGGCTCCTGCTGGCAATTACACCGTCGAAGATGTGGTATTGGAAACAGAATTTGACGGTGAAATCACTAAACACACCATGTTGCAAGTCTGGCCAGTACGTCAGCCACGTCCAGTAACTGAAAAATTGCCAGCTAATCATCCACTATTCACTGGACAAAGAGTGCTAGACTCGTTATTCCCTTGCGTTCAGGGTGGAACAACAGCTATACCTGGAGCTTTTGGTTGCGGTAAAACCGTCATTTCACAGGTAAACATTATAAGTCTTGAAATGTGTTTGAAAGATGTGTAGAACAAATTGCTTTTCAGTCCTTATCTAAATACTCAAACTCAGATGTCATAATATATGTGGGCTGTGGAGAACGTGGTAACGAAATGTCTGAAGTATTAAGAGATTTCCCGGAACTGACTTGCGAAATTGAGGGAGTAGTCGAATCGATTATGAAACGCACAGCTTTAGTAGCTAATACCTCTAATATGCCAGTAGCTGCTCGTG